GCTCAGTGGACTTCACAGTTTGTACAGAATATCAGTATGACAATACGACACCCTCTGTCCTTAGACCCTCACATCGTACAAGGAAAAACTTCCAGAGAAAACCCACAGTTTAAAGGGAAAAATGGGAGAAACCTCAGGGAGAACAACAGAGGAGGGATCCCTCTCCCAGGACGGACAGACGTGTAATAGATGCCGTGTGTAAATTGAAAAGATAATACATTTACACAACTCATAATGATGTCATTACCTGATAACCTTTAACATTGATATACTTAGTGCCTGCGAGTTGCTGGGGTCCAAGAGGAAAAAAAAGATATGATAGAGAGCAAGGTGAGCCAAGCCTCCAAACTTACTATGTCCCCACACTGTAACCCAGCAGTGCTGCCCCCTTTATGACACCAGATGAACTGCTGCACCATGGTGGCAACCAGCCTTTGCAAAGGGGCAACAACAGTATGTTTTTTAAGTTATAGAGAAAACAAATCTTGATGCAAAACATACTTATATAAAAATGTTTTATTTGACTTAATCAATACATAGTCTTTTTTTCTGCAATTGTATGACAGTCTTTAGGAAAAGCTCAAAGTAACATCTTGCTGAAAGACAATACATATTTTGGGAACATGACACCTGCGTGGTGCAAGCGTAGAAAAATGCAGTATAAGAGAAAGTATTATTTGGTAATGAATGTATTAGTAGCAGTATTTCAAATGACATAAATCAGTCTTAAGGCACACAGATAATAATGAATAGTCAAAACACCTTAAACTCTGAGAAACCCACGGTTAAGAAAATGCATATATGATTGTAATACAGGGGGGGAATACATATAGAGTAAAAGAAAATAAAAAGGCATTGAGGTTCAAGCCCGTCTTTGCAGTATGCCCTCAAAGAAAATATCTCTATTCCTATTTTACAATACTGTAAATACATTTCATGTATAAAAAAAACACTTTATAAACGTAAATTTCACTCAGCAGCAATGTACTGTAAGAAGGAGCAGCCTGAGATGATGTTAACCCAAATGTACCAGGCACCTAAAGTTGGTGAATATGAACATAATCCTGCTGTCTTATAGTTATTGCCATTTGAATAAAAAGACGACATGGCTTTTCTCCAGGAAATAAGGTTGATGATGTCCGCAATGACACATAATAAGGCTTTAAATATTGAATTTAATCAATTCTGTACTGTTTTATTTTCTGCTGAAGGGAGCTAAAAGTAATATTGTGCACAATATTGTATTGGTTCATTCATTTAGTGGTTTGAATGTTATCTTTGTCATCATCAGCATATACACTTACTGCGCCCAAACTTCTGTAATAATCAGATTTAAGAGTAAAATACTTCTCTTCACACTTTTCTCACAAGACAGTATCCCTTGGATTTTATTGGCTCTAACGGTCAGAAAGAGATGTCACATGTCAAAATCAAACAAGGGGGGCCAGAGATATGGAAAATCCACCCAAATGGCCCCAGAAGAGGTTTTTTTTACGAAATCTGTCTAAAAAGGTCAAATTAATTCACTAGCACCCCCCCGTCCGTCCCCCCCGTCTACAGGGGGTCGCCAGTCTCGGGCACTGTTATTTTGGGGGGCGCGGGCTGAAAAGTTTGGGAACCCCTGTACTAACCCATCATCCAAGGTTAGTTTTCACTATAAGTACAACATATTTTTGGGACGGACACTATCATTTACAGTTTTTTACCATGTTCAATCTGAATTTTCTTTAAAATAAAAAACATTTATATTGATTCTGACTTTTCTACATCCAACTCACAGGTTTATCATTACTTTGAGAAAAAAGATTATTTATTTAACCCTTTTAGAAGGGAAGATATGCTCGTTTTTTCTGGGAATGTTTATTTTATAGGACTGTCTGAAACAATCCCCTTTAAGGTTTTGGCTCTGTCTTCACACACAGTAACATATAGCGTTACCAGGACAGGAGCAGAACAATTTAATCTGAACTCTAACAGTGGCAAAACATCTAGCTTTGGCTCTATTCCTGATTGAGAATTATTTTTGACATTCAAACTGTAACACATTATTTACCCAATGCTTCAACTTGAACTAAAACTACTAAATTCTACGCTGAAACAGTAATCCACTAATAAAAGATATATTACTCTGAACACAGAGTGAAGGCAGTATGATTCCCTATGGCAGTTATCACAATGTTTAACAGTCACAATTTTCAGTTACAGTACTGAAATTGACGCTATTTAGGATTCATAGATCTCTCGCAGTAAAACAAGTCCGACTGAGACATTTCTGTTCACTATTAAATGTTGTCTCTCAGAAAACAATGTAATATTAAATACATTTGAAATTCACAAATAAGATGGTGGGTAAGCGTCAACAGGGCTATCACACATGATGATGGGAAACAGTACATCGAGGTCGGGGGAACCTCTCACGCTGAAGCTCACCTAGGTGACACAAGAAAACAACTTTAACAGACCGATCCGCTGAAAACCCAAAACAGATGTAAGGCAAGTTTATTTATATAGCACCTTTCAACACAAGGCAATTCAAAGTGCTTTTCAAAAATGAGAGACATTAAGAAAATGGCATTTAAAAACAGTCATTAAAAAGCAAAGATAATAAAATAAACATTAAAAGACAAAATACATGAATAAAAGTTACAGTGCAGTGTAAGATATGAATAGTTCAATTAAAAGCAACGACAGAAAGAAAAGTCTTCAGCATTGATTTAAAAGTAGTAAGAGTTGCAGCAGACCTGCAGGTTTCTGGTAGTTTGTTCCAGATATTTGGAGCATAATAACTGAACGCGGCTTCTCCGTTTAGTTCGGACTCTGGGGACAGAAAGCTGACCCATCCCTGAAGACCTGAGAGTTCTGGATGGTTCATAATTTAGGAGGAGAGCAGAAGTGTATTTTGGGCCAAAACCATTCAAAGCTTTATAAACCAGCAGTGTTAGTGAGGACTCGAGCGGCTTTCTGAATCAATTGCAGCTTTCTAATAGATTTTTTAGTGAGACTGTGAAGACACCATTACAGTAGTCAAGTCTATTGAAGATAAAAGTATGGACAACTTCTTCCAAATCCTGCTGTGACATTAGTCTTTTAATCCTAGATATATTCTTAAAGTGATATTAGGCTGATTTAGTGATTGTTTTAATGTGACTGTTGAAACTCAGATTTCTGGCTTTATCTGTGTTTTGAACATTGCAGACTGAAGCTCAGCGCTAACTTGTATATGTTCTGCCTTGGCTCCAAAAAACCATTACCTCAATTTTATCTTTGTTTAATTGGAGAAAGTTCGGACACATCCAATCCTTGATTTGTTCAATGCACTTACTCAGTGTTAGAATTGGAGCATAGTCTCCTTGTGAAATGGTTATGTAAATTTGTATTTCATCCGCATAGGTATGGTAACTTATTTTGTTGTTTTTCATTATCTGAGCCAGTGGTAGCATGTAGATGTTAAAGAGAAGAGTCCCCAAGATGGAGCCTTTAGGTACCCCACATGTCATATGTGTGAACTCAGATGTGTATTTACCTATAGAAACAACTTTAAGTAGGATTCAAACCAATTTAGAACTGTTGCCGAACGTGCCACCCAGTAATAACTCCAGGTTTAGATGTGTGATGAATGATTCATAAAAACACATTTCTACTAACAACCTATATATCTGTCATCGTTACTAACCTCAATCAAGTATTCAACATCAATGATGCTGCAGTTAGAGATGGTGAGGGATGCAGAAGAGGGAATAGTGAGCTTAATCACAGTGCGACGGTCAGAGATGCGTTCACTGACGAGTTGTCCAGTCGAGGACGTCAATTTCTTGACATGCATCCTCCTGTGGTTCTTGTTGTGGGTGTAGAAAATCTGTTTCTGTTGCAGTGACACCTTTGGAGTGGCTGTTCGAGATGAACCATTAACAAACTCGCAAATGATCTTCACAGTTTCACCTGGAAGAAGAGCAGACAGTGTTTGGTTGTGATGTTTTTAGCCAGCAGTTTTTATAAACGATATTGAATGTTAAATTATAATAATGTGTTGATGGAAACACTACCAGGCATGAAGCCCTTCTTCTCTATACTGGCTGTCATCTCGATAGGACCAGAGGTACACCAAAGGCAGCACACCGTCATGCTGTTGGAGCCCGAGAGAGGAGCCTGCAGAGAAACAGCATTAGCATGCATGAGCAATGAACATGATAATAAAAAGAAGAAAAAAAGAAGAGGACACAGAAAAAAGGTCAGGCCTTATAAGTACTATGTACAAATAAGTCAACCTGAGCAGTTCAGGCAAGCATACTTAACCCTATTACTAGCAGGAATTTATACAATAACTGGGTTGATGGACCACTGTGTGTGTGTGTGTGTGTGTGTGTGTGTGTGTGTGTGTGTGTGTGTGTGTGTGTGT